CGCCTCGGATAAATAAGTTCAAACGTTTTCAATACCTTTAGATTGCAAATATTTCTTGGTCAGAGCGATATAATTGCGGTATTCAGGAATATGTGGATGATCGCTTGTCAATGATTTTGAAGCAATCCTCAGTGCTTCTTCAAAGCCTTGTAAAGCAGATGAAAAATTATATTGACGAAAGTAAATTATGCTTAAATTACTGTATGTAGTAGCAATAAGTTCATAATTTTTCGATACTTTGTTGGAATTCAATTCCAAATTTACCACTTTTCGATAACAATTTAGTTCTTCTTCATAATTCGATATTTGCTTATATATTCCTCCCATATTGTTATAAGTTTTGATTAATAGATCTTCGTTCTCTACTCTATGATTTTTAATAGTTTCCAGTACCGCTTCATAAGAGTACAATGCATTTATGTAATCTTTTTTAATGTCATCAATAAGTGCCATATTATAGTACAGAATCGATGCTAACTCACTATCAATCTCAATGACTGTTAGTGCCTTGTAGTAATTCCAGAGTGCCCTTTTGTAATCATGTTTAAGATAATAAATAGCTCCGATATTATTATATATCGATGCCGAGAAATCGTCACTATTTGAAAAGAATTGTAAAGCATTTTTATAATTCCGAAGTGCTACGTTAAGGTCTTTTCGATCATCGTAAATAAGTGCTAGACCGTAATATAATTCACCTATCTTGGGACTAGTTGGAGAAGCGTATTTTAAAGCTTTTCGATAATTTCGTATTGCCTTTTTATTGTTGTATTTGCAATAATTTATATACCCAATATTAAAATATATTGTTGCTAGATCATCCGAAGTAGTACAAAGATCTTTCTGTGCAATATTAAGGAGCTTCGTTATGTGTTCTAATGCAGTTGCATAATCTTTTTTTATCTGAAAAACTTTAACGATATAAGGCAATACTAGTCGAATTGTACTGTCGTCAATTTCTAAACAATTTTCTCCAATTTCCAAGGCTTTTTCGAATTGAATTAGAGCATTTGTTGTATCATCATTTTCTAAATAAAATTCTCCTAATGAAATATATATTGTAGCTAAATTTGGAATTGTATTTGACTGATTGCATTCGCATTCAAGACTAATTGCTCTTTTGTAGTACTTTATTGCTATATCAGAATTTGATTTAAACTCATAGAGTGTACCCAACGTGTAATATATATAGGCAACCAATTCTTTATTTGTTGATGGCGATGATTGAACAATTGCTTTTTTCAAATATTTCAGAGCTAGTTTGTACTTTGCCTGATAGGTATATAGTGATCCAATATTAATATACGATGTAATAATGTCTGAATAACAGATAGGTAATGATTTTAGACGAATTCTAAGAGCTTTCTTATGATAAAATAACGCTGCGTTGAAATTATCAAGCATATTGTAGCATTGTGCAATGCTACTGTATGTTCGAGCTAGATTAGGATGATCGTTTTGAGTAGACTTGAAAGAAATATCCATGGATCTTTTATAATATTCAAGCGCTTTTTCAAGATTATTATTGTGATCGTAAATAGTACCGAGATTTTTATAAGTAATTGCCAAACTTGGATGATCATCATTCAAGGATTTAAGTCTAATTTCAAGGCCTTTTTCAAGGTTAATTCTTGCAGCTTTCAGACATCCTTTTGAAAGATATGTTTCACCAATATTATTAAAGATATTACCGAGATCTGGATGCGTCTCTGAAAAACAATTGATTCGGATTTGTTTGGCTTTTTCGTGATATTTCAAAGCCAAGGGATAGTTGCTCAAGCACATATGAGCAATGCCTAAATTACTGAATGTTTCAACAAGTTCAGATTTATTGTTGTAAAGATTACTTTTTTGGATTCGATGAGCTTTTCGAAAATATCTAATTGATTGCGAATAATTGCACAGTTCTCTGTATACACAACCGATATTGTTCATAATAGATGAGATCGAGCTAAAATCTTGCGGCTTTAATTTTTGATTTATTTTCAGTACTTGCTTGAAACATTTTAGAGCAGCTGAATAATTTCCCTCGAATAAATGTATTTTCCCAATGTTATTTTTCACACTTATTCTATCAGAATGATCGAATGGAAAATCTTTTAGGATCATGTCATAAAAATCTTTTGCTTTATCGATTTCATTCATGTTCAATAGTAGATCAGTCAATACTGAGATTTTGAATGCAGTGTCAGTATTTGTTTTTAAATTATCGAATAGTTCATTTGGATTCCAATCGTTTTCACCATTGCACAAAGTCAGTTTCACATGCCAAATTTGTTCTGTTAGTCTTTCGACACAATCAATATGGAAAATTGTTCCAATCGTAAACAATATTTCGTCTTTGGTTTTCAAATAAGTGTATTGTTGAATATTAGCAAATGGTTTTTTGACAAAATTTTCTACTGGACAATGAATTTCAAAGAAAACTGATTCTATTATTGGACGTCCTGATCCATCACCAGCAGAAAGAAGTGCAGTTTCACGTGATGTACTTGTAGAAAGAAAACTATTCATTGAAAGTCGACCATTTATATTATCTTTTAGACTGTGTAGTTCATCAAACGTTAATCCTTGTCCATGAAACACAATTAGTTCAGACATCGTTAATGTTTGTGATTTAAGTGTATCAGTATAAGCACCATGTAACTGAGCGAGGTGATTATGAAGATCAATTAGAACGAAACGAAATTTGAATATAACAACAAGATTTTTTGTTCTTAATGCTTTATTTAGTAAACGGTAAAGAAATGTATCTCGTAAATACCATTCAATCACACTGTCTGAATTATAAGTATCTTCAAATTTTTGAATTTTGTCTAATTCTGTAATGTTATCCATATATTCTAGTCGGCAGTCTGTCAATAAATCATTGTTTGAAACAGATGTTGATGGGATACATTTTAATATTTCAATTAATATTTGATACCACACAAAAGAAGCTTGTTCTTTGTTCAGATTTCGAAAAGACATTTCCCCAATATCAAAATTAAGCGATGGTACGATACTCATTGGAATTGTTCTCGAGTAAAACATGACGTCTGCGTTTAGTTGTGCAATTAGTTCATACTTATCAATAAAAACACCTTTAATTTTATCTGAATAATTCTGCGTCCACCCTTCATGTTTCTTTTTATTTTTGCAGAATATGTAAACAGAAAAAATGTGTGATAGTTCGTAGACAAGTGGAACAACTTCTCTTCCTTGTGTACCAGACAGCACGAGAATTACTTTTTTCTTGTTACTGTTATCGACTGGTAAAAGATAACCGATAAAGGAATCGATATTATTAAATAGCTTTAAATAGTTTGCAATCAGATGTAAACAAGCTTTGTGAACCAGATAATCATTGTTTTTTATATCAAGCCAAGCGATTTGAATGCTTCCACCATCATAATTATAGGTCGATTTTGTTTTTGATCTTTTGCTTCGAACAGTGTCAGTGAGAGATATTTTCCGTTTTCTATGTTGATTAGTACTGATAACATCTGAAGTTTGTTTAGTTGACTCTGAGGAGACTAATAGTCCAGCCATTTGTAAAAGGTGCTCATGTAAACGTGTACTAGCACGAATGGATCGAACTTTGGATGCTCGTTTTCGTTGCTTTCTTATGGACTTCGACATCCTTGAACGATGAAACTTTGATAAACTAGTTCTTCTGTAAACCTACAGACGCAGGAATAAACTAGGAGATGATGATGATGATGATGATGATGATTCGATCAGCAAGCGTAAGCACACTTTACTTAGTTTAGGTTTATCTTTACCTTTGAGGAATAGTGTGTAGATCGATGCATATTCATGTATTAACCTATGTACTGATGATGTTATGTGTTACTGTGATTTTCATCAATGTAGTACACAATGAAAAAGTATTTGGGAATATTTTCACAACGATATTTTCGAAAGAATACAGAAAGTTGAAAATATTAGAAGAAAATTGTGCTAATATTCGTTTTTAAGAAAACATGAGCTGGAAGTACAGATAATGGGTGAAAAT